TCTCTCAACAACTCTTCTCTCACCCTTGCCTAAAGCTTACTTTTCAAACACTCTCTCACAGAAGACTTATGCCTCTTGACTGCCAAAGACTTCTCTAAAAAAAATAAAGTTGTTTAAATAATAGGCTCCAAAAAAATTCTAATATTTAATTTAACAATCACTTTTCATATAGTATGATCTATCAATTGTACAATACGATGGATAGTATACAGTAATAAATATGAATGATTAGTGATACAGTACATTTATTTGAATGATTAGTGGATCCACCGTACTGTATACTAGAAGATCAGTTAAAGATGGTTAACTTATCGTACTATATGAATGATTAGTAATACAGTACATTTATTTCATTTCAAAATTGTATTGTACAGGATAAAAAAAATTATATAAACATCCCTCGCGTGATTCTGACTGTACAAATTTTGGATCGTATTGGACAAACCAAACTTTGTCTAGAGATTCCTCAAGTAACTCGTACAGTAATAAATATTTGATATATATTGTACATAAAATGTTAGTATACACCAAAATTGTTTGCAATAATAACAAGTAGGAGGAACTAAGTAAACTCTAATAATGTTTCTAATCATCAAAATATAGCTCAGACTCCTATATTATAACAATTTTATTCGTGAAAAGTAAAATCCTTATCTAATCGATTTCATCCTTTCCGGTTTCACCTCCAGCTCGCCGTCATCCTTATCAAATCGATTTCATCCACTCATCACTTACTAACAAGATGAGCATGAAAACTATCTATCGCTCCTGTTGAGGGGGAGTTCAAATCTTTTAAAATTGACAAGTCAAAGACATATATGAACTATCATAATTCATAACCTGAAGCAGAAATTAACCCCGCAAATCAGTACAGATTCCACAACAATTTACACATTAAATATTAAGGAAGCCTGAGCTGATAATGAAAACTTGAATAAAAAAGTACACAATATATATAAGCACGAAAGTATTATTACTGTTTAACCATAGCACAAAAAACTAGTAAAGAGCTAATTAAAGTTTTGTTTGGGATAACTTTCTTACTTTTTTTTAAACAATTTTTTAGTAAAAAAAACTTAATTTTTATTTGAAAAAACTATTTTAAGAAGCAGTAAAAAAGTTGCTCGAAACGGAGCCTAAGTCCTTGCATATCCAAACATCTGCGTAGCTAAGTCATACTGATTAGCTGCGATTCTAGCTTCTTCATTCTCTGAACGACCAACTAAGGCTCGGTAGTTATGATCTCCTTCGTACGCTATATCTATGTTGTTTGGTTCATTTGGTGGTAACTCCACTTTCTTCCTCGTCTTACAGTTCTTGTTCACACATCTGAAATAACTTATGCATGCACACATTTATATATTTATAAAATTTATAATGTATTATTCAAATTTTTGAAATTCATAGATATGCATGCAGTCATATAAAATAATGTAGGTACGTACCTATTCTTCTGCATACTTCTAATATACTTTTGCCCATATTTCTTCCATTTGTAATCATCTTCTGGGATAACAAAAAGGCCATTACTGAATGCAACAACTATATTTTGCTCCTGGACTTGTTCTTCATCACTGTTTATAAAAAATATTAGGAAAATTAAGAACTTAATTATTCTAAATATTGTCATTAGTACCTTCTGGATTAAAGCTTGATAAAAAATAAAGTAGAAAAAGAAGTAAAATATAAGATTAAAGAAAACACTCAAGAAAAAAAAGTGATAAATTAGTTAAAAAGCTAGCTACACTTGACTATAATCATAAATAGAACATATTTTCATTTCAGCAGCCATCCTTAATTTAACCCCACACAATTATTTTGTTTTTTGTGTTGAACCCCTGTTTCACTATTTCAGCTTGGGGCTACTTTTGGATTTGGCTTCTTCCTAACGATCTCCTTTTTGCTTTTAGTTTTCTTGTTGTTTATTTTGTAATAGATAGGGATTTTTGAATCTTAGGACTTTTTTTTTTTTATTGTAGCTCTTTAAGCGTTAGTGATTTATTAGTCCCTCTAAAGACTTGTAATCTTTTTCTTAATCAATGCGTAGGCCCTGCATGGCCCAAAAAAAAATCACCTTTGGCACAAAAAAAAAAATCTCTATTTTTTTAGTGTAAACTAGCATAACATGTAAGTAATCAAAGTAAAGCCAACAAATAGAAGTTACAATAGAAAAAAATATATATTAAAGTACAAAAAAAAATTTATACATATTCTTTTAATTGATTAATACACAACATGATACCATCATTAAGCTTATGTAATGCATTTTCTTCATAGGGCATAAGTCAAACTCCACAACTTTTTTCTTTCAATGTATAATTTCGATTAAAAAAGTAAATATAATTACAAAAACTGCTAACTTAATTCGCATAAAACTTCACTCTTCTCAAATAACAAAGCGAAAAATGAAAAGATTTGAAGAAAACTTATAAAGCTTAGTCGAATAATAGTTAGATAGATAGATAGATAGATACAGAGAATTCAGAGAAAATATTGCAAAGCTTACATGATGGTGGTTTTAGAGGAGGCCATAGATTCCATAAGAGAGAGAAAATGATTTGAGTTGAAGGAGAACTAATATCTCTTTTGCTTTCTTTTTGAAGAGTAGATATATAGGGCAAGAAGAAGAAGAAGAAGAAGAAGAGAGTGAGGTTTTAATTATGAAATGGGTGGCCGGAGTGAATAGGCTGAAGTTTCTGGAAAGAGAGTGTTGGACTTTTGAAAGCAAAGGAAAAAAAAAAACTATATTGCTATGCTTTATTTATATAAAACTCCATATAATTTATGCTTAAAAACAAAAAATAAAATCTTTCTTTTTTTAATAGATTTAGGCATAAGATTTGTTTGGCATGATTTTTTTACTGTTTCTTAAAACAGATTTTTAATATAAAAATTTAATCTTTATACTAAAAAGTTGCTTTAAAAAACCTGTCCCAAAAGAAGCCTTAGTATGGGATCACTTTCTTACTCTTTTTAGAATAATATTTTAGGAAAAAAATTAATTTTTATACTAAAAAAATATTTTAAGAAGTAATATAAAAATCATCACAAACAAAATCTTAAAGGACTTATCAGCTCCTACTTGAGTTAATTCATGTATTTATTTTAAAAAAAAGATTAATTATTATTTTATTTTGTTACAATTTTAAATTATTTGTCCATCTTCCACAAAATATTCAAAATATTCTAAAATTATACAAAAAAAAAAAGTCTATAATGCTATTGGTTGATGTTATTTTCACCCTCATTAAAATATACGTGCTTATCAGGCATCGCATGAGGTTGCCTTGAATTGATTATTGACGGCATGACGTCAGGTGTATGATATCATCATTCGATAAACTTACTCGACTTTCCAAGAAGATGGCAGCTAAAGTGCACCCGATGTTTGTGTATTGAATTTATTACGGATTGCAATATCAAAAAGATCTTCACCATTGGATTAGTTGGATCAATGATGGATCCTTCTCGGCCATGGCCCTAGTATGGCTAGCATTGTTAATAGAATAAGCAAAGAGAATTAATTTATTTTATTTAAAAAATAATTGCATCATACATATTTTTTTTATTATCACTTAGTTCAAAATTATTTAATTATGTGAAATATGTAGGTAGAAAAGGCTTAATTTTCTATTTTTTTTTTTAATTTTAGCAATCTTATGCGTTTTAGAAAAGATCTCCAATAAAGATTTAGAAATCTATTTTCTTTTATATCTACATAAAACGGCAGTCTTTCGATGATCAGATTAGGTGAGTAGATATATTAGATTTGACCTTTACTAAGAAAGATAGAGATAGACCTAAAAAGACTTAATAAGAAAATATTAGAAATGATCATTTTTATTAGATTTAAATAAGATTTTAATTTTTAACAAGACAAAATGAAGAAAAATGATTCATATAGCTGACCCCAACATAGTGAAATATAGGCTTGATATTGTTGTTATATTTAATATTAGATCTATTAAAAACTCTAATTTATACTTCATTTTCTTTAATATTTTATTTCAAATACTTTATTCTTTCACATGAAAAATTAGCATTTCAGATTTAATGCTCATAACATTTAATGAAAACATGCAGGCTATTTATTAATTTATTACACAGGAAGAAGAGTCTTTCTTATTGTTTCTTAAAACAGTTTTTTTACACAAAAATTTAATTTTTGTATTCGAAATCTGATTTAAGAAGCAGTAAGAAAGCTGTCCTAAATGAAGCCTTAGACTATTTTTTGGGTGGGAATTGCATTTTTTTTTTACATGCTAATGAATAACTATTTCCTTAGTGAATTTGGTTGTCTAATTTACAAATCTTTAATCAATAGAGTAGCATGTCACTTACTTTGTTTTTGACACTCCATAAAAAAAAAGTCTACGGGGTATATAATCGATTGGTTAAGCACAAATCATGATGTATATTTGAATCAAAAAATTATGAAATCAAATTCAAAATTATTTGAACTCTAATTTTAACAAATTTATAGTCAAACTGAATGTTTCGAAGAAACAAATTCATTGACACTAAAAAATGATTTGATTCAAACTTAATAGATTTCAAATCATGCATTTAAAGTGTGGATTGAAAATTCAAGACATTAATTGGAGGATCATTTGAAATGAAAATCTTGCATTCTTATGGACAAATCAAACGTCTCAATGACATAAATTTACTGAACCTAATGTTGCATAATTATAATAGCATTAATTCTCTCAAGCATTTAAAAAATTGAGTATGATCGAGGGAATTATTACAGGCCATCTAATGCCACTTATAAAACTATAAAATAGAGCTAGAATCTAATCTATATGAAAGGGGCTTTGGAGGCATGGTTGTAGATTCAAGAGAGTTTAGAGGATTGAAGAATATTAGAGCTCCATCTCATCACTGCTCGATTGTCGTCATTGGACCATCGGCCGACCATCATTTTTAGGCCACCAGTCTGACAATTTATGCCAGAAAACTTCCATCAAACATCATTCATCTGATAGCTGGCATTTAAACAATATTGTTTGACCACCACCATCAGAGAACTACCATCTGACCATTGTCATCAAATATATACTCTTTGACCTACTCATTATAGTCCTCCGATCATCATAGCCCTCCAACCACTGTTGCATGACTACTTTTCTTCATCCACCATCACCCTAACGATAATCCTCTTACCATCACCTTCTGACTATGGATTTCTATCCACCATCCGTCAATTGTTATCTCTCGACCACCACCTCTAAACTAAAATCCTCAAGTCACCATAGTTCGATTACATTCCTCCAACCATGCATTATCACTAGCTATGGCCCTCCATCCACTATTGCTTAATTATGATCCTCCTAACAAAAGCTCTCAATCATGATCTCTCGACTCCAATTATCAATCCATCAGTTCCTGACTATAATCATTTGACCACAATCTTTCGATTATGGTCCTCAGACCACCATCACTATGCTTGAACAAAACATATAATATAATTTGGATTATATAGTACCATTTACAGAAAAACTAAAATGCATATATATCATAGGTTATAAATGATGCATTTCATCAAAATTAAAAATGGTGATGATACAATATAATTGTATTCAAGAGATCATTTTATATTATATTATATCATTCTTCTTTAAAAATAGAAGATTAGATACCAACAAATCGATCAATGATAAATCATGGTGTTGATATTGAAAATCAAAATTAATATTTATAGCATGCATCGTCGTTGTGAGAAACGACAAGTGAAGTAGGCGAGTGTCAACCTTGATACTTATGCATGTCATTGCCTTAAAAGTCCATGAATTTTGTCATCACACAACATCGCTTATAAAGTTGTTGTAGCTGTCAACACCAAGGTCGATGCTCACAAACTTCTTCGCATGTCATTGCTCACAAAATCAAATCACACCATTGCCAATAAGGTCAGTGCTTGTTGTTGACTCTAACATGTCCTTCAACATCAACACCAAGTTTTATAATGAATTTCTTGATCTCTAATCTTTTTTCTTCTTAAAGGATAATGAATGAATATACCATAATAACTTTAATGCTTCAAAGCTTCTCTAACTTTTACCTTGGAATCCATCCTCGACAATTCAAATGTACTACACTATATCAATGCCATCTCTGCTTATAATGAAGGGCATCATTTTTAACATATGAAAAACACTAATTTAACTATCTCAAATAGTCCAAGCCATATGATTTTTTCTTTTGGATTTTTCATGTAAAAATTTTAATTTTTCTTATTACTTTCTTTTATATGTATGCATACTAAGAACCAACTAGTGAATATGAAAAACTCCTTATTTAAAAAAGAAAGTTAAACTCCTAAACATTGATGTGCTTTTTAGTGTAATGCTTAAGGTTTTATTAAGAAACTCTAAAGTTAAGCATGCTCAAGTAAAAGCCATCATGAAATGGGTGACTTAATGAAAGTTATACTAACATGACAAAATCATGAAGTTATTAGGCCAAAGTGGACAATACATCAATAGTTAAGAGTTTTGATTATTAAGCTAGGTCACAGATCCCCGACACATCAAATCTAGAAATAGTCCTATATTTGAATCAAAACTCTTACCTATTTAATTAAACCTTGCAGAAATTATTCTATATTCGCTATCAAACTTTCTATCACTCTATTCTCTCATGCTTGCGAGAGATTATTCTGGGCAAACACTAGACAGTTCTCCCGTTCGGTTCCGCGTTCAGCACCGAGCAATACCGAACGCGGCTATTGAGCTCGGTACCGAGCCCGGTACATTTTAAAGGTGACGTGATAACTTTTTTTTTTTATCTCAGAATGCTCCGAACTACACACAAAATAATAAATCCGTGCGCTTGCAGTCAAATCTTGATATTTTCAACTTGTAATAATGAATTCATGGTAGCTATCCAAAGTACTCTTCTTATATGTCGGCATATCGAGGTAGTTTAAAGCCAAAGCTTATTCAAAGTCCTCGTGAACCATTTAAGAACAAAGTTTACATTCTTGCTAGCTAGCCAGCTCCAGTTATTTTTAATTTATTATTATTATTATTATTATTATTATTGTTGCGTCTTGGAATATTCGCGGCAGTAGAGAAATATAAAGTTTAAGATCTTGGTCTTGTACAAAGATTCAACACACAATCAGATATGTATGAGGGTGTTGCATTCATAAGAGGCTCCCGAGTTTTGTGTGGAAACCCTAAAAAGGGGAAAAACCATGGGCCTAGCCCAATTTGAAGGAATCCACTAATATTTGCAGTCAATTACAAATGAGGCCCTTCCTTGGGAGAAGGCCTTAGCTTGATGTAACAAATATACATCATATAGAGCGCATTTTACGTTGGAAATTACAACAATCAATATAGACATGTTTGTTTGGTCAGCAGATAACAGAGGTTAGAAAGATCTTAGTAGGGTGACAGTGGTCGACGACACTGTAGTCTACGGACGATAGAGGTCGGAAGGTCAGTTATCTTGTGACGGAGGTCAGAAGGACCATTATCTTATAACGGAGGTTGAAAGGACCATTATCTCGTGACGGAGGTTGAAAGGATCATAGTCGGCAGGCGAAGATGGTCGGAAGGGCCATAGTCGACAAGTGATGGAGGTTAGAAGGACCATAACCTAGTGACAGAGGTTGGAAGGACTGTTGTTGGTGGACAACGTAGGTCGAAAAGACCATAATCTGGTGACACAGGTCTGAAGGACCGTAGTCTGAAGACA